TCTCTCTCTCTCTTCGCTTCTCTCTCTCTCACTCACTCGCTAAAACACTGAATAATTAATCAAATTTGTTGTTCGCCTTTTTAGATTGCGAGAAACCGGTCGAAGATTTTGTAAATACCGTTAATGCATATGAAACGGCTACAAGCGGGTCAATTTGTGGATCAGATCATCAAGTTGGCTATAGCAATAATAATATTAACAATAATAGTAATTCTAGCAGTACTACAACAACAACGACAACAAGTAATACTAATAACAATAATAATCGTTTAGTGCCACCAACGGATTTTAATGCACCTGCAGCATTAGCAGCAACAACCAGTGATAAGACAACGTTTCATGCAAATGCAGTGCATCACAGTGTTGGTAAGTAATAACAAAAAAAAAAAAATAGTCTTCAATCAAAGAAATCCATTCATATACACGTAATTATTCATAATATTAACTGTTACAAAGACCTCAACGCGTGCGGTATTTAAAATTGAAACGGAAATCGAGGGATATTTAATTGTAAAGGTTAAAAGCTTATCATACGCGTGCCTGAAGCCAAAAAAAAAACACATTCAATGCATTTTAAATATATTTTTATTTATTCAATTTTTTTTTTTTTATTTTATTAATTTTCAAAAAAAAAAAATACAAAATTTTTTTACGACTTCACACAATTAGTGGAAACATTATTAAAATTGTGTGACTTCGCTTTTCAAGTACTCTTCAAGAATATATACTCAAATATGCAAATGAGCTATGAAGGAAAAAAAAAAAAAAAGATTTCTTTTTGGCCGTATATCCGTTAAATTAAAAATAACTTCTCTTTTATTATATTGAAAAAATTATCCGAATTTAGATAAATTTTTGAAACTACCAGTTATTGCAGATGTTATTTTTATTAAACATTCATTTCCGCAGCGATTATTGTAATGCATATTAACGCTTTATTTTATTGCTTATTATATACAAATCCGATGCGGTGTGTAACTGCAAGCGATATGCAAAAAATTATTATATCTTTTACTTGAAGTCAGCTTACACTTGCGCGCTTGTGGATGAAATTTGCGCAGTCAAGGAAAACATTGCCCCAGCAATCTGAAGCCTAATATCTATATTCTACTTTTACTTTATTTGAGTTTAAAAGATCCGTTTCTGAAATCATTCCCCAACATTTCCATAAAAATCAAAAGAAAAAATATAAATATATTTTTTTATCAGTCAGGTTAAAATTTCATAATCAGTGGCACCAAAATATTTTGTATTTTTTATAATCAGTAACGAGGATTGGAACGGCCCTCACACACAGCCATTTAGACAAAAGTATTTTAACCTTCGATCTGCTATATATACTCTTTTTATACTCTCTCTTACCCTGTAATGGACTCCATGGAGTACATTTCGTAGTATTCGTAGTATCAGTTTGTCGATCTGTTCTTGGAAATTCTCTGCTTGCAAACGTTTTAAATACAAGGAAGGGCAGGATCTGGAAGGGCAGCTGAAATTAGAGCCGGGGATCCAATATATGGGCGTACGAAAATTTCTGTGACGATACCTCACTTAAGGATTTCATGTATATTTTATTCAATGCAGGCCAACTTGGGTTAGTCAAGACCGCTTAATCCTAGGAAATTTTTTTTTACTAGGTTTGTAACTCTACTCCATAGCTCTATTGGCCCTTACAAAATGTAATTTCTCGTTTATTGCAAGCGCGTTTGTAGGTCGGTCAGTGTTATTTTCTTGCCCTTGAATGCCCAGTGAATGGCAGATCAATATTTACTAGGGATTATAAGCTTTTTTCCTCCTATTAAGTACGTGATTGTGGGCAGATCAGTTCGATCTCCTAACTACGCCGGTTGTCAGCAACTAAGAGCGTGCACGTAGGTGGATGGGAGGGTGTTGTAATACAGACAAACAGGCGCTGTTTGTCAATTCGCGCATCTATTGAATAAAAAGGTTTGCAACTGTTATGCATTACCTACCTCCAAGCGATTGATATCCAAGATTCGTTTTGTGGCGAGCATAACTTATCTTAATTTATATTATTTTGCTTTTTTGCCTTCAGATTAATTTTAGACAGCTCAAGTGCCACAGGTTAAATGTTTTTCGCCATTTCTGTCTTTGCCTAGAGATTTTATTTAGATAAACAATTAATTTAATTTGTTTTTAGCGAATTTTATTTACGTTATCATCAGTGAAACGGAAATTAATTTTCAATTCCATTGTGTCTTAACATTTCATTATTTATATATACAAAAAAATTATGGCATTTATATAAAATTTACATATATATATATATATATATACATATATATGTACAATATTTATAGGCATATATATGTGAAAATATTTTCTTGCATTTCTATGCTTATATTATATTAACATTGCATTACCAGCATCCATTGGATAGAGTAGCAAGTCGAATTCACCAATGGTGTCTGCATCGAAAGTGACTGAGCAATGGCGCCATAGTCAGTTTTAGCAAAATGTTTATATACTGAATGCCAGAGAAATTCCATTCTTTTATTAATCATAAAAATTATATTAAGATTGTCATTAGGGCTTAACACACAAGCAGCGTGAAATCGAAAATTCGACAAATTGTATACATTTTTGCTTAAGATTCATGCAAAGATGCATCACGCCTTAGTGAGTTCTCTTTTTTGGAGATATTTCTTTCACGTTATTTACCATAGGTCAAGGAGGAGGCAATCCTGTGTTAATCACAAAGCATATCATCTCTTTGAGATAATTTATATTCCATAGCGTTTTACGCTACAATTAATTTCCGCATTCCTGTCTTGTAGACCAACTTTTTGACAACTTACTATGCATTACTATTACCTAACTAAATTACTTCTAACGTTCGTTTTCCTTAAGCTTCTGATGTTGTTGTTATGCTGCATGAGTTATTAGTGTTGTAAGCATTAGGTTGCTGATTTAACATACGGTACAGTAAATGTTGGCTCATTATTCAATCCTTATATCTTGTGCATCGCTCATATGCTTTATAAATAATCCACATTTCATGCGTTTAATTATTTCCACATCAATATGACTGTATGTGTATGTGTAATAATATCATTGATTTCTAATTTTTTGTACCTTAGTCTATGTCTAATAAAGCGTAAAAATGTCCTTCAAAGACTTAATAAAATGTAAACATATTCTGTCGTAATTCGATCTACGAAAGCGATTTAGTTTAGTGTTGTCCGTTTGTCACGATTCAAATGGCTACAGAACTAAGGGTTTCAGCGCAATGACTTGTTGCCAGTTTCAGCAGAGTTTTGATTCTTATGACATTATAAAAAAAAAAAAATGGTCAATTACGGCGATAGTCCGAAATCAAGCGCATTGACTGCGGTATTCTGTCTAAAAGATAGGAAGAATGGGCAATGACCAGGTTTTCTTTTTTCACAAAAATATTGACCGAAATTAATTTCTAAATCTGACAAACGAAATGCTGCGACGTTATCGAAAAAATAAAAAAAGATTATCTGAAATATACAGAACTCATTAGTCTTACTTTGTTCGCCCTTTTTGTTTTCAAATCAAATATCATAAATGAATTTTGGAATCAAGTTTACGCATTCAAATGAATTTGTTTTGAAACCTATGCCGTTAAAATCTTTTTTTCCCGTTTTTAAAATTATCGAAATCGTCATCGAGGCAAATTCACCAGTGTTGAATAGTGCAAAAGAATAGTTTTTAATTTGTTCAAAAGGTTGCTGGTTGAGGCACTTAAGGGATTATCTCGTATATTAGAAGAAATCAATCTCGACATTTTGTTTATTTATATAATGACGCAACTAGTGCTTCTAAGGCAAACAAATGTTGTACATAAATTTATTAACACATACATACATATACAGATAAATGCTGATCTAACTGATGCAAAGCGATGCAATTACCATAATTTACTAAATCTTTCCGCATTATATCAATAGAAATTATTATAATACTTGGGTTTAAAAATCCATTTTAATAATAAAGTAACTCTATGACGTTCGAAATTAAACAAACAAACAGATATCCTCTTACAGCAAATACTATTTTACTATTATATCACCTAAAATCAATTTTGATAGTAGTTAGTATTCATGCCAAATACTCTATCAAAAATTTCGGTTTTTATATGCATTTCAAAATTTATCTAATTATCTACGCGCGATGCCTTTGCACATGCGTAACTTGGATACGTACGAAATCAATGAATAATAATTAGCGTTAATTAAATCCAAGCGTCCATCCTTTGATCTATTTTTTTTTTATTTTCATTTGTTCTGTATCTCTAAATAGCACAGCTCTCTTTTTTTTCGCAATTGTCTAACTGATTATAACTAAATTGCGTCCATTTTTAGCAACGTTTAGTAGCACGCATTAAAATATTAATTATAGTTTAGAAAAACTCAAGTCGCTTAACCATATGACACGTTAGACATGAACTTACTTATCTTAATTAATAGTTGGAAAAATTACAGATGTCTAACTAACCCGATACATTACAATTCTATATAAAAATCATTATATGCATTAACAATTTTAGTTAATTCAATCACGTGACGCCTTAATACGGTTTTAATCGTTAAATGTCCATTCATGGATTTAATAAAAACTGCATTTTATTACATTTTTTGTATACAAAAAAAAAAAAAGCAAATTATCCCTGAACACCTGGATTTGTATCAATATTAAACCCTTTTCTTTACTTTCCAACTCTTCATTAATTTAAGTTAATGTAGTTCAAAAGTAGTTCTTTCATGTATTGACAGCGACTGCATAATTAAATATTTCAATATAAAATTTTTCAAATTTAATATCAAAATTATGAAAATCAAATTCACAGACAATTGTCCCCCATTTTGTATGACATCATTTCATGCAAACATTAACAAAAACCAGTGAATGCATGCATAACCGTCATATACTTACGGTCTTGTTAATATTTTGCTATCAATAATATGTAAATTTAATTATACACTGAAGAAAAAAAAAAACAACAACAACAACAATAACAACAAACAGCAGTAATATTATTAAGTGTGCGTATTTATTAAGTATGCGTGTTGCAGCTACTTATGTAAATTGATTGAGCTTACGAGGGTATTTGCTTAAGTCTCTTAATTCTATGGAATTATAATTTACTTAAACGCAAACATCTATGCGGGCTTATGCATCTTGCTTTTAAACTCGATTACCAAACTACAAGAGTATTGAATTTATACGGTAGGAGTATAATAGATATATAAAAGTAAAGACTATTGATTCACTAGGTGTTACTTTCAATTTTCATACCCACCAGATTCCCATTTTTTCATAATGGAAGGGATCTTCAAAGACCCTACAAAGTATATTCATTCTTGATTAGCGTGAAATTC